GTGCCGCCCGCGGGCGCCGGAGGAGGAGGAGGAGGAGGAGGAGGAGGAGGAGGAGGAGGAGGAGGAGGAGGAGGAGGAGGAGGAGGAGAAGAGAGAGAAGAGGAGGAGGAGGAGGAGGAGGAGGAGGAGAGGGGGAGGAGGCGGGGGAGGAGGAGGAGATCCCGCCACGACCCGTGCCGCCCGCGGGCGCCGCGGGCTGGAGGCTGCTCGGGAGGTGCGCGTCCCTGGCCGCCCCTCGGGCGCTGCGGGGCTCCTCGCCATCTCCGGCGACGCGAGCCTCCGCGGCGCTGCCTCGGACCTCCCCCCTCCTGCCCGTGGGCGACCCAGACCCCCTCGAGTTCTGAAAAAAAATCACGACGGGAGGTTTTTTCACCATTTTTGGCCTCTGGGGGCCCTTGCCGGCCCTCGGGGCCGTCAGAAAACGACTCAGGACGAAAAACCGGTCCCGGGGAATGGGTCGAGACCTCGGGGGGTCGACGCCATGAAAAAATCAGGACGTCGGGGGTCTGGGGAGGGCGAGCAGCGCGGCGCGCGCTCTCTCTTGGCTCCTCCTCCTCGGCCCCCTCCGGTGAGCCCGCGCGCCACCTCGCACAGGGCCGAAGGGCTCGCCCTCGTCCCGCGCCCCGCGGGGCCGCTGGCGTCGCCGCCTCCGCCCTCTCGTCGAGGGCCAGCGCCCGCTGCCCGCAGCCGCCGGCGCGCGCAGAGCGCCATTGGGGGGCGTCGTGGGGTGCCCGCGCGGCGGTCCTGGCGCGGCGGCAGCGCCCGGTGCTGTCGCGGCGCTGGCCCGTGTGGCTGCGCCGGCGTGTGGGGCGCCTGGGGCCTCTGAGGCCCCAAGGAAGGCTTGAGCCCCAAATGGGCCGCGGGGAGAAAGAGAGAGAGAGAGAGAGGATACAGACAGGATATAGATAGATATATATATATATATATATATATATATATATATATATGTATATATATATGCTTATATATATATATATACATATATACAAGACTGCAGTGGCGCTTCGCGCCATGCACCTTGGTCCTTGAGCTTTGGTTTGCAGGCGGAATGGCACGGAGGTCAAGCCGACAATTTAGCGATAACTCCTGGTTGCCTTTTCCGGCATCGCCGCTATAATGATGTTATTCGTTATCCTTCCTCCACGCTTCTTGTTCCTTATTTTCGCCATACCCTGCGCATTCTCCCCATCCTCCTCAGCTCTTTTTTGCGGAGGCTCCTCCTTGGAGAGCCTCTAGGGGCCTCACAAAAGTTGTTTCGGGCTTTCTTAAGGCCTTCTGGAGGCCTCCTGGGCGTATTCTGGGGGCCTCCGGGGGCTTCCTCGGGCCACCCTGCCTCCAACCGCCGTCTCCCTGAACGACCGAATCACGATTTGGAATTCTTCGGAGGGTGTCTTTGGGCCATCTTGGGCCGCCATGGGGCTCTCTGAGGGCCATCTTGGACCCGTGTTGTGCCGTTTTGGGGCTCTCTTGGACTGCCTGGAAGCCCTTTCGGATGGTTGTGGGGCGATTTGGGAGCCTCCCAGGCGGCTTCGGACGCCCAGAAGACCGCCGTCTTGGAGCGTCGGGAAGCCGAAAAGAGGAGAACCCCCAAATTCACCAAAAAACACAGAAATCAATGATTTTTGCCTCGGGGGGCCTTCTTGGGAGTGCTCTTGGAGGCCTCTTTGGGGCCGTCCTGGAGGCCTCTTGGGCCATCTTGAGGTCACGTCGGTCACTCTTGGAGCGCTCTTGTGCTGTCTTGGGGGTCTCTGGGACGTCTCCGATGACCCCCCTGATCGCCCTAAGTGTGCTGGGAAGGCTTGGCAAAACGCCTTGCGAGGCCTGGTGGCCGCTTCGAGGCCCGTCCCGAGGGCCCCAAAGCCCCAGGTCCTGGGAGTCCGGTTTTTTTTTGGGGGGGGGATGGGTTTTCCCCCCGCCCGGGCTTATAAAAATAGAGAGAGAGAGAGAGAAAGAAAGAGAGAGAGAGAGAGAGAGCACGGGCCCCCCCAGCCCTTCCCGGCCACTTACAACCTTACGTTCTGCTTTGCCCGAACTCTCACACTGGGGACTGGGGCAGCTTGCAGGGAGGAGGAGGAGGAGGAGGAGGAGGAGGAGGAGGAGGAGGAGGAGGAGGAGGGGGAGGAGGAGGAGGAGCAGGAGGTGGATGGCGGCGACGACGAGGAGGGAGGGAGGAGCTGCCCACTCTCGGCCGCGAGGCAGAGGAGGACCTGCGGGCCTGGGGCGCGGCGGCGGGCAAGGGCGGGCGCCAGCGGCCGTACTTCTTCGAGCTCCTGGTCACGGCGTGGCCCGTCTGGCAGGCCGGCCTTCCGCCTCCATTTCTCCCCCTTAGACATAGTTCTCCTCCTCCTCCTCCTCCTCCTCCTCCTCCTCCTCCTCCTCCTGGCTCAAGCAATTTGGGAACCAGGCCCCAACGCATCATAGCTCTTCCCAGTCGCACCCCGGAGCCCCGTCGGAAGGGCGGCCCGGGCGTGTCGCCCGAGACTTCCACACCGCGGATGACCGTCAAGCTTAAGAACTGGCAGCAGTCTCACGCATGAAGGGCGGGTCGCTTTCAAGATGTGGCTCTCACCGTAGCGCCGCGCGAGCGCATTCGTCTTATACGTTAGCAAGTTGTTCATGTAATGAGGGCGGTCCCTTTTCAATATGTGGCTCTCGAGTTAGCGCCGCGCGCACTCGTTTTGAATACTTGCGAGAGTTTAACGGACTCCCATGGTTAGCGTGCCAGAAATGATGCTTAGGAGCGACTCAGGGTTGCGAGGGCGCAACAGTGACGATGTTTCGTTGTGTTGAGATCCTAGGGATGTGTTCTGGCACGATTCAGGACTGTCAAGACGCAACAGTCAGGTTTCTATGTGACGTTGGAGTCCTGAGAATCATGTCTGAGCACGCTTCAGGATCTTAAAACGGTTGTCTCCCAACGGGGCGCTTCCTTCAGTGGACATGAATATTTTTCGGGGCATGTGCAGAGGGAGCTTGGAAGTAGGATGTATTCCAACATCGTTGAGGAGTATTGCGTTTGCACTGGTCCTCCTCCTCCTCCTGCTTCTCCTCCTCATCATCATCATCCTCATCCTCGCGGCCCCCTGGACCGCCTCTGTTTTTTTTTCTCGCGCTCTATCTCGTGTGTGCCTGAGTTCATCCTCGGGCTGGAAAGCCCACACTGACGGGCATGGAGTTCTCTTGTCCCTGGACGGGTGTCGCTCTTCGCGTTATTGTTCTTGTCCGCCCTCCTCTCTTGGCAGTTGCTCTCCTCCTCCACCTCCCCCTCCTCCTCCTTCATCGGGCATTGCCAGGGGGGGTCACCAGAAGAGGGGTCACCACCTCCTGAAGATCGAAGGTCGAGGAGGAGGAGGAGGCGGAGGAGGAGGAGGAGGAGGGAGGAGGAGGAGGAGGAGGAGGAGGAGGAGGAGGAGGGAGGATCGAGGATCGAGGAGTTTTGGACGTTTTTGGTGTGTCTTTTGGAGTCCTGGGGGGGCTCTGGGGGGTCCGAGGGGGGTCCGTCTCCTCGGGGTTCTGGCCACCCCCCTGGTAGCACCCCCCCATCCGCACTGGCGGACTTCGGCGCGAAGGAAATCCGAACCTCCAGCGATATGATGTGTCCAGTTCTGGTGGTGTCCACAGACGGTTTTCGTTTTAGGCATTTCTCGTGGTTGTCCGAGGGGAGTTTGCACAGTCTGGCTCTAGCCATACAGATCACGGAGATCTCGTTTTCTTGCTTTCTTGCATTCGGGTTGTGATCTTGCACCTCGCCCTCAGGGCTGTTCCTGGGCTTCGGCCCATGGGTCAATTTGGTGGCTTGCACCGTTCGCGGGAGAAAATCCGCCTGCCTCTCGCTCTGGACTGGGAGATTCAAAACCACCGCCTCTAGTTCGCGGCAGGTCGCTGCACGGGTGCTGCCGACATTGTGTGAAGGCAAGCGGTCCGCAGCGATGGCGGGGTCGCGGGCGGGCAGGTTGCGCGCGCGATTCTCTTGGACTTGTTTGTAACCATCTGAGACCAGCAACCTCAGTAGAGTAATCTCAAGATGTTCTCAGCATGGTTCTCCGATGACGATCGCCAAATTATGCCTCGCCGCCTACACAATCGCCAGACATCTGGCACTTTCTGGTTTTCTTACGTCGGCGTGCTACGCCGAGTTTGGTACCATTGCAGGTTGCTCCTTTGCGACCACCCTCATCAGAGTCAACTCCTTGAAGTGCTTTGATCAGATCGAATGGCCAGTCTGTGTCACGCCCGCCCTTTACATTGACGACAATGCTGTCCACGCGATTGGTTCTGAATATGTGGTGGCCCCTGCCCATATTTCGAGCACAAAGCAGTTGCGACCCGCTGTCACGGAAGGCATCGGTGCTTCTTTCGCCGAGGACAAGGGGGCTCTAGTTGGTTCCTATCATCGGGCTGGCCTTACGGTGCAGGCGGCCCTCGGTGCGTCTCTGACTGGGCCCTTGGCTTTTTCGTTGCCGCCGAATCTCGGAATCGACGGCACCGTCGGACGCCCTGTCAGGGTCAAGGGCCGCGGCGCCAAAGCCGAGGGTCGTGTCGCTCAAGCTCGGCGCCGCGCCGAGCTCTTGCTCACGCTGTGGGGCGGGCGGCGCGGAGGGTCGGGTGCTCAAAGGGCCCCGCCGGCTGCGACGCGCGGGTGGGGCGTCCGCGGCACGTCGACTGCGGAGTTTGTTGGCCCTGCGTCGTTTTTGGTTTCGCTGGCATGGAGCCGCCTGCCGGCGGTGACGGGTCCCTGTCGGCTCTGCTGCGCCTCGAGGAGGACCCCGCGTAGATGCGCAGGGTGGCCCCTACAGTCGGGGCCCCGAAGAAGGAATCCTTTTGGTTGGGGAGGGGCTCCGTGCTCCTTGATTGTTTCGCAGCTTGCCTCAGGCTTTCCTTAGGCTTTCGATCTGCAATCGAAGTCCAACTTATGGAAAATAGGGGCCTCGTTCCCTATTCAGGGTTCCTTAGGTCAACGCCCCTACTTGTCGCTGGCACAAGGAACCCTGGCCCACTCACCTCGCCGCCCACCTTTCCATCTTGAGCTATCAGGAGCTTCGGCATGATCGGGGTTCGGTGTTCGGAGAGGCTTCAATGACTAACAGTCGGGGCCCTGAAGAAGGAACCCTTTTGGTTGGGGAGGGGCTCCGTGTTCCTTGATTGTTTCGCAGCTTGCCTTGGGTTTTCCTTAGGCTCTCGATCTGCAGTCGAAGTTCAACTTATGGAACATAGGGGCCTCGTTCCTTATTCAGGGTTCCTTAGGTCAACGCCCCTACTTGTCGCTGGCACAAGGAACCCTGGCCCACTCACCTCGCCGCCCACCTTTCCATCTTGAGCTATCAGGAGCCCCGGCACGATTGGGGTTCGGTGTTCGGAGAGGCTTCAAGGACTAACAGTCGGGGCCCTGAAGAAGGAACCCTTTTGGTTGGGGAGGGGCTCCGTGTTCCTTGATTGTTTCGCAGCTTGCCTTCGGCTTTCCTTAGGTTTTCGAGATGCAATCGAAGTTCAACTTATGGACAATAGGGGCCTCGTTCCTTATTTCGGGTTCCTTAGGTCAACGCCCCTATTTGTCGCTGGCACAAGGAACCCTGGCACACTCACCTCGCCGCCCACCTTTCCATCTTAAGCTATCGGGAGCTTCGGTATGGTTGGGGCTTGGTGTTCGGGGAGGCAGTCGGGGCCCTGAAGAAGGAACCCTGTTCGTTGAGGAGGGGTTCGGTGTTCCTTGATTGTTCTGCAGTTTGCCTTTTGTTTTCCTGAGGTTTCCCATGGGAAATCGAAGTTCAACTTATGGGAGAAAGGGGCCCCGTTCCTTATTTAGCGTTCCTTAGGTCAACGCCCCGACTGTAACCTGTTTCAGGATTCGTTTCGGCCATGAAGATATCTTCTGAGCGCACCAGGTACCAGATGAAGGAGTTTACCACGCTGAACGACGCTCGTTGAGTGGAACTTCCGATCCTGTCTCTCTCGCCGTTTTTTGCGCGGAGCCTGCTCCGCGAAGCTGTTTTTTTCGCGGGCTGGAATGGGGTATCGGCAGCAAGCTAGGGCCTGTCAGCGTGCATGCGTCGACGTTATCAGCTGCGGTTTGGCTGGTAAAAGGCCTCTCCCATGCAAAAGACAGTATTCGGGTTTTGTCGTGTGGAGCGGTCTTGACCCGTCTGTATACGATTTCCAAAGGGTACAGGTTTCCTGAGTTCTGTGAGCATTGCAAAACGGCCAGGGGCTCCATGTTTCACCGTGTCTGGCCTTGCCCTCACGTGGACTTTGATCGTGGGGAGACTGTCGGAAATTAGCTGGTCGACGGTATGATCGACTACGTGAGCGTCAATGAGCAATGCTGATTTTGCGTATGTGTGGTATCATGGCCCACCCAGAAACCGCCGTTCGCCGCCGTTCGAAGATAGAGGTAGGCAGATTGATTGGAACCGTGAGCCCCACCTTCCAAACCTTTTTTGCCATTCAGGGTAACGTTGTTCACCGACGGTTCTTGCACTCGTCATGCGATTCAGGAGTTGTGTCGCGCGGTCTGGCCCCTGGTTGTTTCCAATGGCCCCTGGATGTTTCCATACGTTGTCCCGTTTGGGCTTCGCCTCCCCAAACCCTCCCCAAGCTGGCGAGTTCTCGGGGCATTGCGGTGCCACTGTATGGTCTGGACCCAGAGAGCTCGTCACGGACTGTGCTAATGCCAAGCTAGTTCACGACTCCCCCTGGACTGCCACACGTATGTACGCGTTTTTTTTAGATTCGGTCTGAGAGACGGTTCACCACGCCATTTTTTAAGTGAGCGCCCACCAGAGTCTCCAGGACGACGTCTCAGCTGAAGAGCAAGCCATCCGTCTCGGGAACCACTTCGCGGACCTCGGGGCCAAAGAAGCTCTGCTCAGCCATCCCACAGACGATGAAGTCTTGGAGGGTGTTAAATTAAGTGCTAAGTATTGTGAGGCCTCGTACAAGCTCGCAGCCAAGCTTTTGCCGACGTTCTCGCCCCTCAGTATTTCAGAGGACATCGAATCGGTCCCACAGCCCGTTGTCTCTCAGGCGATTGGGTTTGCCGGCCACATCTGGTTTCATATCGGTTCTCATTGGCGCTGCTCTGTTTGCCTCCAGGTCCGTCGCCCCAAGGATAAAGAGAAACCCCCTTTGGGCTCGTGCTCTGGTCTGAAGGAGCGCAGAGTCGAGAGTTTGAATGCGAGTAACCATCGATGTGTTATGTTCCCATGTAGAGACGATGCTCAGCTCATTGCGTGTTTGAAGTGCAAGTGCTACACCTCCCATGGATACGTCCGCGGCCGCTACAAGTTGCGCGCCCCCCCTGGCAAGTTCGGCGCGTGGGAATGGCAACTGATACGTAAATGCCGACACCCTGAGAGAGGCAATGTTTCAGTGCAGCTGGTGGCCAACCTCAATGCAGGTCGCTAGGAGAAATCTCTTCAGGCGGCCCCCAGCTTGTTTTTTACCGCCCCCTTTTCGGCCCCGACCTCAGTTCCGAGGGAGGAAGCGGCACATGCTTTTTGTTTGTTGTTTTCAGCTGCGTCGCGCGAGGGCCGCCCTTAGCTTCGAAGAGGACAAGGCGCCCCTCATACCAGCCGTTGGGGAACGAGAGGGCGAGTCTGATTAATAAGCGAGCTACTTTTCTCGATTGGGCTTCTTCTTGCTGGAACCCAGGACTCGCCAGGTCCTGGCTCTCTGGTAGACCACCACACGAGGAAAAGGAGTAGGTGGTTGAACCCTCGCGGAAAAAAAAAATCGGTCGACTCCTGTTATATTTTGCAGACGTCCTGGGGCCTCTTGGGGGTCTTATGGGCCTCCTGGAGCATCTTGGGGGCTCTTGGAGGCCCCCGGCAGCCTCGGGGGCCAACTTCCGGGGAATGGTTCGACATGTCAGTTCGGATTCCTCCTCCCGGGGCCCTCTTGGGAGAGTCTGGAGCCCTCTTGGGAGGCCTCTTGGGCCCGCTCGCTTCTTCGCCTGACGTGGGGGCGACGTTGGAAGCCTCTTGTTGGGCTGTCTCGGGCGGTCGAGGGCCCGAAAACGCGGTGACGCCCTGACCCTTCCCAAACCCATCGGAAATCAACCTTTTTGGGCCCCTCTTGGACCTGTCCGGGACCGCCTTGGGGCTATCTTGAGGCCTCTTGGGGTCGTCTTCGGGCCATCTCGAGGCCTGCCACCTATCGATGCCGACTCCTGGGTCGTCTTGGAGCTCCCTTGGGGGTCCTCTGGGGCGCTCCTGGGGCAATCTGGAGGGCCCCGAAGACCGCCCACCGAAGTTCTGGCATCCGTGGCCCCCGCCTGCCCAAAGCTCTGCTCGGAGATTTCTCGTCCGGGAGCCCCAGGGCGTACTGGCAATGTTAGCACCGCCTCTGTCACTGTCACTGGGAGGGGCAGGAGGAGGGGGGAGGAGGAGGAGGAGGAGGAGGAGGAGGAGGAGGAGGAGGAGGAGGAGGAGCAGGAGCAGGAGCAGGAGCAGGAGCAGGAGCAGGAGCAGGAGGAGGCAGGGGCCGCCGCGCGCCGCCCGTCGCTGGCAATGTCGGCGCGCCTCTGGGCCGCTGGGCCGGTGGCTCGGGGGTGGGAGTCTGGCGCAGCGCACCGCTGTACTCCAGGAGGGGAAAAACACACACAGACACAATGAATCGTCGATCCCCAGAAAAAATATGGGGAAACATGGGAAGTGGGGGGGAAGACAGCAGCTCGGAAAATATAGGAAAGCATAGGGGAGTCCGGCTATTTGTGTCTATTGGTTTGTGTGTCCCAGGGCCCCTTCACAGTACTGCGGTGTGGAGGGGCGCGTGGTGCTCTTCACCAAAGGCGTTGCGGCCATCACGGGCCGCGAGCCCGCGATGAGTTTCGAGGGGTGTTGGCTTCGGGGGCGTGGGCCTGGTATCAAATCGGGCCCGTCCCTCTACGGGGGGAAGATTCAAAAATAGTGCAAAAATGATCGGGGGACTATGTTTCGACTATTTTTCTGCATTTGGTGGGTATGTTGGGGGGTACCTTTTGTTTTCGCCCCAAGATCCCCCTGTAGGGGACACGCCCGACTTGAGCCTGACATCATCTACAATGGGCTGTGGCCTGGGGAGCACGAGAGCCGGGCGTAGTGCACGAGGGAGTGTGGCCTCGGGAGCGCGGGCCCTGGCGTAATTTACGAGGGGATGTGTTTCAGGAGGGCCTGTCCCTACAGGGGGATTTTCGACGAAAAATAGAAAATAGTCCAAACATATTTTTGGGACCATTTTTTTAAACTTGACTTTTTGGAAGTATTCGTATGGTATTTTTCATTTTTCGTCGAAAATCCACGAGGGGATGTGTTGTCGGCTGTTCCACATGTCCCAGGACCTCAGTGTCAGGTCGGGCCTGTCCCCCTACAGGGGGATTTTCGATGAAAAATAACAAATATCCCAAAAGTGTTCGAAAAATACGAAATATCAAAAAAATAATCCTAAAATAGTATGGGGACTTTTTTTTGCGTATGGTTTACCTTTTTGGGTGTTTTTTTCTAGTATGTTTTTTAAGTTTTCGTCGAGAATCCATCTGTAGGGGGACAGGCCCGACCTAAGAATGTGTTGTCTTGTTCCACATGTCCCAGGACCTTAGTGGGCCCCAGAAACGGCAGGGCCGTTTTTTCACCGTTTCCAAAAAAGTGTCCCTTGAAAACGGAAGCGGCAAAAAACGGCGACCGGAAACGGCAAAAAAACAGCTCCAGGATTGGAACTGGAGCTGGAACCGGAGCTGGAACCGGTCAAAAAACGGCGACGGAACCGGTAAACAAATGGCGTCGGAACCGGCGAAAAGCGGCAAAACAGAACCGGTAAAAAAACGGCCCTGTCGTTTCCAGGGCCCACTCAGGACACCCCCTCAGGAATGCATCCGATTGCGTGATTCTGGCGTGGTCAGCGGGTGGTTTTCGGGCCCCCCCCTCTCGCGCGGTCTTCCATCATGGCAGCAGCGGGGCGATCCGAGAACATCTACAACAAGGGCTCCCACGAGGGCGCGAAGTTATTCGCGCTTCGCGGTCCTCGTTCCTTCTCCCCCTCCTCCTCGTCCTCCTTTTCTCCCTTTGGGGGGGCGGCGCGAGGGCGCGAAGTTATTCGCGCTTCGCGGAGCGCGAAGCGCGAAGTTGGGAGCCCTAGTACAAGTGGAACTCGGGGGCTGGAGCTGTCGCAGGGAACTCCAGCACCTACGCCTCGCAACTTGATGGCTCCACTCAGAGGCCTGCGGATATGGGACACATCGGAGCCAGCTTCGGCCAAAAGCTTCCCAGGGATGCCCTTGAGAAATCCAAGTTCTTAAAGCCACCTTGCGGCTTCAGTTGCAGACAGAGGAGGTTCCAGTTCGCCCCGCCCTTCTGGAGTCCGACGAGTCGCCTTTTTGGGGGCTCACGAGCTATCTTGGGGCCGTATTGGGACCCCTCTGGGCGGTTTGGGGCGCTCTCTTGGGCCATCCTGGAGCCATCCTTCGGTCCATAAGCCCGTCGGAAACGAAAAGGCGAGAATGCCAAAATCGTTGGTTTCGCTAGGTTTTGGAAGGATGGTGGCCTCTCAGGGCGCGTCGTTGGTGCCCCGTCCAGACCCAGCGGAAGAGGGTACGTAGGGAGGGGGTACCCCCCCTCCCCGAAGGGGAAAAAGGAGACTGGAAGAGGAAGCGTGTCAGACCACCTCGGCCCAGAGGGCTGGCGTGATTGTATGCAAACAGGATCGTGGCCCTGGGAGCGAGGATCGATCACGTTGGAGTGGGAATCGGGTTCGTAGTGTTTTTTGTGATAGGGATCTCACCGTGCCCCTGGGAGCGGGGCCCATACATGTTGCGAGGGGCCGTGTCCCTTGTCCCTGGGAGCGCGGATCCGTCGCACCCTGGCATCGGTCGTGGCCCTGGGATCGGTCTCCTCCTCCCCCTCCTCCTCCTCCTCCTCCTCCTCCTCCTCCTCCTCCTCCTCCTCCTCCTCCTCCTCTCCCTCCTCCTCCCCATCCGCCGTTCTCCTCCTCCTCCTCCTCCTCCTCTTCCTCCTCCGCCTCCATCTTCCTCCGTCGGATCTTCAGGTCGCCTCTGCAGAAGCAACTGCTCCATCGTGAGAGCGAGCAGTATCAACAGCAGTTTGAGTAGTAGCAGCGGCTGGCTGGTGAGGCGGAACTTTTTTTGTGTGCCACGCTCCACCTCCGTCGTCTTCTCCCTGCCACGGGGCCCGGTGCTCCATCGAAGCGCGCGACACGACAGCGCAGGCGCTGCACAGAGTGGGCTTGCAGCTGTTGGCCTTCTTCGCGCTGGCGTGCGTGCGGGGCTTGGAAGCCGGCCTGTGGAGAGGGGGAGCTGAAGGAGGCGGACGAGCAAGCGAAGAACGAGGGCGAGAAGTAGGGCGAGAATGACAAGGAGCAGCGACGAGGAGGTTGATGGGGATGAGAGGAGGAGGAGGAGGAGGAGGAGGAGGAGGAGGAGGAGGAGGAGGAGGAATAATATATGGGGAGGAGGAGAGGGCGAGGAAGAGGAGGAAGAGGAGGAAGAGGAGGAGGAGGAGGAGGAGGAGGAGCGCGGCATGTCAAAATCTGGTCAGGGCCCGAGGAGGAGAAGGAGGGGGAGAATAATGGGAGGAGGTGGGAGGTGAAGAGCAGCAGCAGCAGGGAACGGAGAAGGAGGAGGAAGAGGAACAAACAAATGCAACCAGCCAGGATTTTTTCCAGCCGCCCCCCCGCCCCCCCCTCGGACGGACCCCCAAACGGCTGGCCCGAGAGAGCACAGCGAGAGCTGCAGCAGCCCCCGGAGACGGCCAAGAGGTGCCCAGGAGCCCAGGAGGCATCCAAGGAAGCCCCCGCAGGTCCACATTTGCAGCCCCACAGCGGCTTAATCCTCCTCCTCCTTCTTCTCCTCCTCCTCCTCCTCCTCCTCCTCCTCCTCCTCCTCCTCCTCCTCCTCCTCGTGCTGCTGCTCCTCCTCCTCCTCCTCCTCTTCCTCCTCCTCATGGTCCTCCTCCTTCTCGTCCTCCTCCTCCTCCTCATCATCAGCAGCAGCATCATCACTATCGTCATTGTCATCATCACCATCATCTTCATCATCACCACCACCCTCATCACCGCCCTAATTTTCTTCCTTATTCCTCCTCGTCGCCCTCCTTCTCTTACGCGTGCACATGTTGAGTATCTATGTATATGCACAGGTCTGCATTGGCGCTTCGCGCCATGCACCTTGGTCCTTGCAGTTCGGCATACAGGCGGAAGGGCAGGAAGGTACAACAGACGAATCCGCGATAACTCCTTGTTGCCTTGCCTTTTTCCCGACATTGTCGTTTCTACTAATGTTCTTCAGTATCCTTCCTTCCATGCGTCCTTTTCATCATTATCGCCCTACCTTGAGAAGTCTTCCCCATCCTCCTCAGCTCTTTTTGCGGAGGCTCTTCCTTGGAGAGCCTCCTGAGGCCTCACAGGAGTTTCTCGGGCTTTTTTAGGGCCTTCTGGAGGCCTCCTGGGCGCCTTCTGGGGGCTTCTGGGGGCTTCCTCGGCCCACTTTGCTTCCAACCGCGGTCTCCCTGAACGACCGGGTCACGATTTTGAATGCTTCGGGGAGCGTCCTGGGGCTGTCTTGGGCCGTCATGGGGTTTTCTTTGGCCATCTTGGAACCCTGTTGTGCCGTCTTGGGGCTCTCTTGGACTGTCTGGAAGCCCTTTCGGAGGGTTCTGGGGCGAGTGTCGGGCCTCCCAGACAGCCTCGGACGCCCAGAAGACCGAAGAACAGGGCATTCCCCAAATCATGCAAACATCTAGGACAATACATTCTTTTTTTTGCGTTTTGAAAGCCTCTTGGGGGGTCTTCTTGGGGTCGTCTTCGGGCGTCTGGTGGGTGCCTGGGGCCTCTTGGGGCCCTTAGGGGGCGCGGTTGGCCGCCCTCCTCGCCGATTCGGGCCCGTTGCCTGAGCCCCGCAGGGGCTTCCAGGAGCTCTGAACAGTTTGGGGGGCCTCCTGCAGGGGCGTCTGGGGACCCCCCGGGGTCACGGATCCTGGGGGGCCCGTTTCGGGGTGGGGGCGGGGCAGGGTTTCCGCAGGGTGCGGATTCATATATATATATATATATGTATATATATATGTATATATATATATATATGTCTCTGTGTGTGTGTGTGTGTGAAAGGGACTTGCTATGTCAGTAGTGGATGTTCAAGCAAACACAATTAATCCGTTCAGACGGGACGACGACTTAGCCAGGCGAAGGGCACAACCCTATACAGTCGCGAGTAGCGCTGGATACGACCTCTCCTCAAAAGCAGCGCGCCGCGGAAGGGATGGAGTTCAGGACGGCGTGGAGGGAGGGGGGGAGCGCCAACCCCGCGCGCAGGGGCGAGCTGAGCTTTCCCTGTCCTTCCAGCCCCTCCCCTCCCGATCCTCCTTCCTCCCCTGCCGATCCTCCTTCTCCTCTTTCTCCATTCCTTTTCCTTGTAGATAATTTCTCCCTGTCGCACCCCGAGGCCAGTTTTTATGGCGGGCCGGGTGTTTCACCTGAGGCTTTCTCACCATTCATGACCTTGAAGCCTAAACATTGGCAACAGTTTCACAAATGGAGGGCGGGTCGTTTTCAAAATGTGGTTCTCGCCTTAGCGCCGCGCACATTCGTTCTTGAACTGTTCAAGAGCTTCACGGATTGAGGGCGACCCGTTTTCAAAGTGTGGTTCTCGCTTTAGCACTGCGTACATTCGCTTCAAGCTGTTGCAAGAGTTTCACGGATTGAGGGCGGTTCCTTTTCAAAAAAGTGGCGCTCGCCTTAACGCCGCGCGCACTCGTGTTTAACAAGTGCAAGAGTTTCACGGAATCCAATGGTCAGCCTACCAGACATGCTGTTTCGGAGGGATTCAGGATTATGAGTGAGCAACAGTAACATTGATTCGCAGTGTTGAAGTCCTAGGAGTGGCGCTCTGGCACGATTCAGGATCGTCAACAAGCAGCAGTTAGGTTGATCCATGGCGTTGAAATCCCGAGACCAATGTTTTGACATGCTTCAGGGTCTTCAAACGGTTGTCTTCAAACGAGGCAGTTCCTCAGTGGAAATGAACCGTTGTAGGGACCTATGAAGAGGGAGCTTGGAGGGAGGGTCTATTCCAACATCGTTGGTGACTCTTGGGTTTACGCTGGTATTTTTCCTTCTCCTCCTCCTAACGATTATCTTCCGTTTCCCTCTTCCTACAACCCTCGTCAAAATTAACATCAAAATTGTACGTGGTTGATGTGTTTGTGGGGAGATACTAGACATATTAGCGGTGACTGCGAGGTACTTGTATGCGCCGCCCCTCCAATGTCGGTCATCATCGAACTTCCGGGTCGTTCCCGGTCAGACCGCTTTTTCTTTGGCCCCGACATTGGAGGGGCGTCCATCGACATTGAAGGGCGCGCCGACATCGCAGGGGCTTGGCCGCTTTCAACGAGGGTAGTAGTCCTTGTTGTCTTCTTCTTCTCGTCCTCCTTCTCCTCCTCCCGATGGGTTGGGGAGGGGCATCTGGACCCTCCCGCTGGGGCCGTTCATGTCTTCCATGTTTGACAGAGAGAAGGGGGACAACCCATATAGTGGATAGAGAGAGAGAGAGAGAGAGAGAGCGCGAGAGAGAGAGAGCGCACGAGAAAGAGATGGGGGAATGATAGACAGGGAGGAGGGGAAACGATTCAAATCCCAGGGCCGCCCCCCCCGCCCCACCGCATTGCTCACTTCCCATCCCCCCCCCTCGTCCAGTCTGGAGCTGAAAGGCGGAGGAGGGGGAATGAGGGGGGTGGGTGAGGACGGCGACGTCGAAAAGGAGAAGCCGAATGAGGAGGAGAAGGCTGGCATCTCGTCCTGCTATTCGAGCCAGATGCCGAGGAGGAGGAGGAGGAGGAGGAGGAGGAGGGAGAAGCATGAGGAGTTGGAGGACGAGTAGGAGAGACCCGTTGCTGGAGCTACATATTTCATGTTTCCACTTGCCGTGCTTCTGGCAATCGGCGGTCGACGCTTCAGTCCCGAGGATCTGCCCAAGGCTTTCAAGAGATTTCGTAGACATTGTTGGTCGAGATCCTGGGGGTGGGCGTCGCCAAATCCAATTTCCTCTGCTTTCCCCTCCTTCTCACTCCCCCCGTCCTCTATTCAGCAAGCGGTGGGCGGTCCTCGGTTGAACAGCATCCCTTTTCCGATGTTTGCTTACTTTGTCACCAGCTGGCCGCCGCAGTTCCGGCTCCGCAGTATATTGGGAGGGGGTGCGGAAAAGATGTATGAAGAAGTGTTTCCAGGGGGTGCGGTGGCCGCCTTTGTAGGCGCGCCTCAAAGTGTTCCAAGCTGAGCTCGAAGAGGGGCCCCTCTCGAACGCCATATTGCTCACGGGAGTGCAATATTCGACGTGACAGCCGACAAGAGCGCTGTACGCTGCAGTATCCCTCCCCCCGTCCCCTCTCAATGACACATCATGAATGCAGTTCTCTGCTCTCCCCTGACCCCGTCTGGAAGGTAGCTGGTTCTCTCCGCGTATTGCTCTTTTCTTTTTCTTTTTTTCTTTTCTTTTTGCCGCTGTGTCCCAGCCTCGTTCTTACCGCCCTCTGGACTTTTCCTTGCGGGCCGCGAATCAAACAAGTATTGCTCTTTTATACACAGGAGAATTGGGCACAGCTGATTTGTCACAGGTTTGGTTGCAATCGGATTGTTCGAGGTGTTTCAAAATGGTGCGCCCGCTTCCGCGTGGAACTCACTTTTCGGGTCGGCGCGTTGCTCCCATTTTGTTCGGGCCGGCGCTCGCGCCCCCGCGCGGGCTACTTTTTTTCTGTCTCCGAGCTCTTTTTCGTGGCTGCCACCCCCTCGTTTCCCCTCCGCCCTCCCCTGGCCCTCCCGCTCCATTCTCCCCTGGTCCTCCTGTTTCTCCTGCTCCTTCCACTGCGGTTCTTGCTGCTGCTGCTCGTCCTCGTCTTCCTCATTCCACATCCTCCTCCTTCTCCTCCTCCTTTTCCTCTTCCTTCTTCGCCTTCTCCTCCTCCTCCTCCTCCTCCTCCTCCTCCTCCTCCTCCTCCTCCTGCTGCTCATCTTCCTGCTCACCCGCGACCTCCTCCTCCCACGCACGCAGCTCCCATTTTCCGATTGCGTATAACACGATGGGCTTTTGGGGGGGAGCTCCAGGTCGGCGCGTCCGCGGATAGAGAAAAATCAGCGCAATGGGAAGGGATGGGCCCTGGTATTCGGAGGATGGCTTGGGCTACGTCTGCACCCCGGGGAGGAGTCGGACGTCAGATGCGGCGCCGCGAGCGCACCCAGCCCCCCCCCCCATCTCTCTTGCTCCCCCCGGGCATTCGCCCTGCCCCCCTCCCCCCGCCACCTCCGCCTCCCCCCCCCGCCCCTCTGCCCTCCCCCCCCCCCCCGCCCCTCCGTGCCTCCCTGTCACCCTCGGCCCTCCGAGGCTGCCACGCGGCGCGGGCCCGCAGGGGGCCCGCCGAATCCGCTCTCGCCTCGCTCTGTCCGCCGCCACGTGCCGCGTGCAGGCCCTCGGGGCCACGCGGCCGTGGGGTCCAGCGGCCTCGTGTTGGGTATCGGGAGGCCTGCTGGGGGCCTCTCGGGAGGCCTCCCCGCCGGCCCCCCCCCCCCCTTGGCGCCGCGGTGCCCCGTGCCGTGCGCCGCTTGGCTCGCGCGCGCCGCGGCGCGCCGCAGGCGATGTGGGCAGGCCCGCGCGCCCCCGCGCGCGGCCGCTGCCCGCCGCGGCCGCGCGCAGGTACCACAGGTTTGTGTGTGCCTGGGGCGCGCGCCCCGCGCTCGGGATTTGACCCACTGGGTGCGCCATCTGCTATTATTTTTTGCCTTTTGGGGCCCTTACCGGCCCTCGGGACCATCAAGAAACGACTCAGGACGAAAAACCGGTCCCCGGGAATGGGTCGAGACCTCGGGGGGTCGACGTCATGAAAAAATCATGACGTCGGGGGTCTGTGTCTGCTGCCGCGCCCCGGAGAGGCCGGCCGGTCTCTGCAGGTCGCAGGTCCCTCCGCAGAGAAGGTCCCCGCACGGGGGTCTCCCCGCGGAGGCTTCTGGCGGGCCTCCCGAGGAGGCCCGAAGATCGGCGTCACCCCAGCATACTTACACTATATGTGTGGTTCGCCCCCCCAGGGGAGACGCGCGCACCGAGAAATTTTGTAGTACATGCGTCGTGGCGGGCGCGTTCTGGCCACACCGCTCGGGAAACGATGCACTACACGATGGTATACTATATATATATATATATATATATATATATATATATATATGTTTTGGTCGGACGCGCGCTTCCAAGGAGGTCATATAGTATCAGTATGTCTCTGTGCGCCCCAGAAGAGGGCCAGGGAGCGCCTTCCCCGAGCAGTGCTTGCACGCGGGGTGCCCGGCTTCGTTCCCGAGGAGCGCGGGGCCTGCCCGGCGGCCCGGCGGCTGCGCGGCCGGCGCCGCTGCCTCGTCGCCGCCCGTCGCCCGGGCTTCTGCGCGGCGGTCTGGCGGCCACCTTGCGCACCACACGGCTTCCTTTCGGAGGGCACCAACTATACACCAACACCGATCCTGGCCCAGGGTCACCCTGGGCTCATGATCGGTGTATATGCCTTCTTGCCCGCGGCAGGAGGGCGTATACACCGATCCTGGGCCCAGGGTGATCCTGGCCAGGATCGGTGTTGGTGTATAGTTGGTGCCTTCCTATCCTTGTCTCAGAGGGATGTCGACTCTACCCCCCCCCGGCCTTCTCGGTTCCCCCTGGGATAGTACCATTTACATCCGATGATGCTTCATCGCTCCTTTGGCGTATGAAGTTGTGCCATCCCAGGGAGTCCCCTTATCGCCCCCTCTCATCCCTGCCCAATGGTACTATGCGCGAGCATCCGTTTTTTCGTTTATCAAAAAAGATAATTGTTCAATCGCCCCTTGCGAAAAGCTGACAAAAATCCACACGGGCGCGTCGTCGCGAGCACATTTCGAAATCCTTCAAGACTTTTAAGGCTTCGTAGAGATCTCAAGATCGAGGTTCTCGAAATCGTATCAGATCACATCAGGAACAAGGGCTTTCCAACAATACTTGTCAAGTAGATCTGCGCGCGAGCACCTGCGGCTTCTTAAGAGAGCTACGTGTGGCCAACTCTCTCGTCAGATGAGACCACGTGGGCCTCTCGCGCGCGCATGTCGACGTCATTGCGCGCTTGCTGGGTGTGTGTGTGTGTGTGTGTGTGTGTGTGTGGGGGAAATACCATGCAGGCCACTCGCGCGCGTCGGCCGAGGCGCGCATGCCGAAATCCATCCAAATCAAGGCCTTCATCAGCGACACATGGACATCATCATCGTCATGGGCGCGACCAGCATCTGTGCAGTCACTGGCCTTGCCGTCGTCATCGCCATCATCGCCTCCATCATCGCTACTATCATCATCGTTTCCGCCGCTGTCGACGTCGCTATGATACTGTGCCCGCCCAAGCCACCAACCTGAACTGAAGCGCCTGCGCGCCAGCCCGGCCTCTGAGACGCGCTGGGAAGTCCCCATCGGTCAGCGCCATCGCGGCCGCGTCGGCTGTACCAAACGAACTGGCCGCTCTGTTCGCGCGGCCACAGAGATGCGCCAGCCAGTGCCAAGCAGTCATCGCAATCGCCGCCGCATGGGTTTTGTAAACCAAGTTGCGGGTGGGAGGGTGGGATGATTCCGCGAGCAGTGGAGTTGTCAATTCCATTTTTTTCAAATCAGCTGCACGACGCACATTGCACCACGTTGATTGCACAACACAAGGTGTTTGGGATGCAACTCCTGGGAGGTCAAATTCTGATTTTGCACTGGTCCGAAGTCCAGCTTAATCTGGCTTAATCCCGCTTAATCCGGCTTAATCCGGCTTGATCCGGCTTAATCCCGCTTAATCCCGCTTAATCCGGCTTAATTCCGCTTAATCCGAGGCCCACTCCAGCGTAATAGCTCCCAAATGGGGCTCAATTCTCATTAATTCTTCCGACGAAAGCCTCCCAGTAGTTGCCTCCTAAAGTTGCGCTGCGCAGAAAACTTGGCACCCGCGCGGGGTCCCCGATCGCCCAGAACGAGGGGTGCCGCTCCCCCTCCCCCTCCCCCCCTTTCCCCCTCCTTTCCCCCTTCCGTCCTCCTCCTCCCCTACCTCCTCCTCCTCCTCCTCCCCCTCCCCCCTCCTCCTCCTCCTCCTCCCCTCCCCCTCCCCCTCCCCCCCCCTCCCGCCTCCTCCTCCCCCTCCATCCTCCTCCTCCCCTTCCTCCTCCTCCTCCTCCTCCTCCTCCTCTCCTCCTCCTCCTCCTCCTCCTCTCCTCCTCCTCCTCCTCCCCCTCCTCCTCTCCTCCTCCTCCTCCTCCCCTCCTCCTCCTCCTCCTCCTCCTCCTCCTCCTCCTTCCTCCTCCTCCTCCTCCTCCCCTCCTCCTCCCCTCCTCCTCCTCCTCCTCCTCCTCCGCCGCCCCCGCCTCCTCCTCCTCCCCCTCCTCCCCCTCCTCCTCCCCCTATCCTCCTCCCCCTCCTCCCCCTCCCCCTCCTCCTCCTCCTCCTCCTCCCCCTCCTCCTCCGGCGGAGCGGGAGCCGGTCCGCCGGCCCGGCCCCCGGGCGCCGCCGGCCGAGGAGGGCACCGCGGCGGTGCCCGAGGCGCTGCTGGCCGCGGCGGGCTCGGCGTCGGCTGCGCGGCGTCGGCTCGCGGCGCCGGTCTGGAGTCGGGCCTGTCCCTCGACAGGGTCGGGGGAGAGAAAGATACGGATACGTGTTGTCCCCCTTCGTTTTCGGCCTTTCCTGGTCCTCCTGGGGAATCCTCGTTGTCACCGCTGGATTCGCCTCGAAATTCTGGTCAGAACGCACCCCAAGAGAGGTCCGGGGACAACACGTATCCGTATCTTTCCGCCCCCCAACAGGGGGGGAATCCAAGAGTAGCCAAAAAATAGTCCCAGGAGTATGTTTTACCATGTTCTTGCATTTTTTTTTGGGGGGGGGGGGGGCATTTTGAAAAGAAGAAGAAGAAGAAGAAGAAGAAGAAGAAAACAAAAAACAAAAAGAACAGAAAAAGAAGAAGAAATCGTCCAATATCGGCCTGTAGGGGGGGACAGGCCCGACTGAACGCTGGTCCTCCGAGGAGCAGGGAGATACCGATGCCGCTGCCCTCCCCTCGTCGCGGAGGAGGAGAAGCGGCACACGCGTTGAGACGTTGGGAGGGGGCTTGCTTCGTGCTCTCGTGTGGTGGTGGGGGGGGGGGGGGCAATGTTGAGCGGCAGTGCGAGTCGTTCCATTGTGCTGGCTGAGACGTGATAACACAAGGAGGGGCTGCGTTTCATGTGGTGCAGCCAAGACGCTGAAATAAGGAACACTTTGGAGTCGGAAGGGGCTCGATGTTCCTCACCTCCTTCCGCGGTTGTTCCTCCAGCCCGCCTCGTGCACCCAGGCTTTTTTGAAGCCGCAGAGGGGCTTCGTTCCTTGTTTAGCGTTCCTTCTTTCAGCAGCCCGAGCGTATGAAGCATCACGCCGGTCGTTGAAAGTAAGTATCTTTGGACCCCCAGATCCCAATCTGCTTCAAAAGCGCCCTCCTACTTCGATCATCGGCACGATCTTGCTGTGTCTTGTCATTCCCTGGGGGGCCTGGACCCAATCAACTTAATTCCGCCTTCCTGCTTGATGTTTTCACCCACAGTCAAAAGCCCTAATGAGGACGCGCGACTTTGCTCAGGGTACCCTTGCTCTTCATTGCTCCTCCTTGCGCTTGCGTCCTTGGGGTTTTCGTCGCCCGCCGCCCCAAAAAAATCCCAACTTCGGCTTCCAAGGGTCTTGCGTCCTCGCCGCGCGTCTTTTTATTGGGGTTTTTGACTGCACCTGCCTCCTCCGACCGCCGTGCACAGCGCTTTGCGGTCTGCGCACATACTTCTCGGCGCGGCGCCGGGCGCGCCCCCCCCACTTTGCGGCGCCGCCGGCGCGCGCGCCGCTCCCTGGCGCGCCTCCAGGGGGTCCCTGGCGCGCCACTCCTGGCGCGCCTCCTGGCTCCTGGCGCGCCACTCCTGGCGCGCCACTCCTGGCGCGCCACTCCTGGCGCGCCACTTCTTTCCGCCTTCCTGCTTCACGTTCTTACTTACTTCTTCCGACCGCCGTGCACAGCCTGAGCTCTGCGCACACTTCTCGGCGCGGCGCCGGGCGCGCCCCCCCCCCGGCGGATCCCGCCGGCGCGCGCGCCGCTCCTGGCGCGCCTCCAAGGGGGGTCCAGCGCCGACCCGAGAAGCCTGAGCGCAGCTCCGGAAGTTTCTGCGTAGGTTTTTTTATTAAACCATATTTTTGGTATTAAAAACAACACACATATATACACATGTGCATACATACATATACATATATATACGCACATGTATATATCATATTTTTGGTTTAAAAAAGGCGGTGCCCTTCCCTCGTCGCCACGGCTGGATTCGCCCCAGAGTCCTAGTCAGAGCGCGCCCGCGGGAGGGCCCGTGGAGTGGCGGCATCGGTGTCTTGCCGCTCCCACCGATCGCGCTCGGATCGCGTCGTCGCTGCTCTGCCTTTTGCCCTCCTTCGTCCTTCTCCTCATCCTCCCTGTCCTCCTACACCCCCTCCTCTCCACAGTCGCCTGCGCGCGGTCGGCCACCAGTCCGTGGGACCTGGCGTCTGCGTTCTGGGAAGCGGGAGTGCGGGCGGCATGCGTCCAGACTGTTCGCCGTGGAGTCGCCAGCGCGCCGGCGCAGATGCCCCCGGCTTTGCAGCCCCTACTGGAGCCCAGCATCGCCTCCGCGATGGTTCAGAAATTGCTCAGTACAGTCAGGGCGCTGAACTACAGGCCTCGGACAAAAGCACTCATGCCACATTCATGTGTGAACGCCTCCCCCTCCCCCCAATGCTCAAAGTTAGCGGTGGGTCTGATGAGTTGCACCTCGACCCTGCGCGCCAACTTTGAGTCTGGGGGGCAGGGGGGGGTGCTCACTAATTGCTTCCCCCTGCCGTAAGGACCGCTTTGGGCTCGGGAGGGGCTCGGGGGTTCGGGCCCTTGTTTTGGCGGGCCTAGGCCCGCCGTGGCCAGAAGGGCCCCTTCGCTCATTTTTTTTGTTGTAGGCGCTCCGGGATGGTCGCGCGAGGACGGTCGGAGTGCTGCTTGCCCGCCGCCCCTGGAGCTGTGCTGCCCGGTGCCCCCCGGCTCCCGCGGGCCGCCTCCTCGCAACGCAGGCCTCCGCGAGCAGATGTGCACCCGTGGTGCAGATGTGTGCGTCTCTGGTAGGTCGGAACGTCTTCGGTGCTTCGGTAATGCAGTCGGGGCCCTGCAGAAGGAGCCCTTTGTGTTGGGGAGGGGCTCCGTGTTCCTTAGTTGCTTTACAGTGCTCCTTGGGTTATCCTTATGTTTTCGATCGGAATTCGAAGTTTAACTTATGGAAAAAGGGGGCCTCGTTCCTTATTTTTCGTTCCTTAGGTCAACGCCCCGACTGTAGCGTTTTGCTGCTGCAGCGGTGGCCAGATTTCAGGATCGGTGTGCTGCCTCCGTCGTTCAGAATGGCGCCCTCGGCCCAGCGCGGACTGCGTGGATCCGATTCCTTCCTCGTCAGTGCTGCCCCTCTCCTTTTCCCCTCCTCCGCCTTCCCCTGATGCTCCTGCTCCTCCAGCAGCTGCTGCTTCTCTCCTCCTTCCCCGCCCTCCTTTTCCTGCTCATCCGCCTCCTCGACCTCCAATGTACAACATTCCCCCTCCCGATTGCACAGCAAACGATATGTTAAATCCTGCAACTGCCATTTGGGGATCAAGGTCCTCTAGGACACCCCAGTCGAGGGTTAGAAAATGGTTTGAACACACTCGGAGCGGATTGGCGGGAGGGGTCGGGTATCAGAGTGGCACGAGCGCGCCTAGAATGCCAGGTACAAACTACACTCCTCTCTCCCCTGACGCCGTGCAGCAGTGCCCCCACCTTTCCTTCGTAGTGGCTTCACAGCACGATGAACGTTCACGCGCGCGCTTCGCGTTGGCGGCGATCTCGGCGTCGTCGCAGGCCCTTCCCCCGCGCGTCGGCAGGCGTCCTCGCACTCGGGCCGCCCGTGCCGCTGCAGCACGCTGGACGCTCGCCGCGCGCCGCGCGTCGGCGGCGGCCTCGGCGTCGCGGCAGGTCCTCTCCCCCCGAGGCCGTGCGTCGGCAGACGTCCTCGCTTTCGTGCCGCCGCGTGCCCCCGTCAGCGCAGTGGACGTTCACGGAGCGTTGAGTCGGGCCCGTCCCCCTACAGGGGGATTGTCGACGACAAATAAAACATACCCCCAAAATAGCCAAAAAATGCCCCCAAAAAATACTACGGGGACTATTTTTATGTTATTTGTTATTCATCTTTTTGGAGGATTTGTACGGTATTTTTCATTTTTCGTCGAAGATCCCCCCTGTAGGGGGACACGCCCGACTTACACGGAGCGCCGCGCGCTGGCGGCGACCTCGGCAGCGTCGCGGGCCCGTGGCCCCCGAGGCCGTGCGTCGGCGGGCGTCCTCGCTTCCGTGCCGCCCCGGGCTCCCCGCGGCGCAGTGGACCCAGACCCCCGACGCCATGATTTTTTCACGACGTCGACCCCCCGAGGTCTCGACCCCTTCCCCGGGACCGGTTTTTCGTCCCGAGTCGTTTTTTGACGGTCCCGAGGGCCGGTGAGGGCCCCCAGAGGCCCAAAATAGTGAAAAACCTCCCGTCGTGATTTTTTCATAACTCGAGGGGGTCCGGGCCCCGGGCTCCCCGCAGCGCAGTGGACGTGCACGGAGCGCCGCGCGCCGGCCGGCGACCTCGGCAGCGTCGCGGGCCCCTGGCCCCCGAGAGGCCCGTGCGCCGGCGGGCGCCCCGGGCGGGGCTCGTGCCCCGGGCCCCCGCAGCGCAGTGGAGGAGGAGGAGGAGGAGGAGGAGGAGGAGGAGGAGGAGGGTTAGGAAGGAGGAGTGGGAGGAGAGGCGCGAGTGAGCAGGAAGGAGGAGGAGTAGGAGGGAGGAGGAATGCATGAGGAGGAGGAGGAGGAGGGAGGATGGAGGAGGAGGAAGGGAAGGAGGAGGAGGGGATGAGGAGGAGGAGGAGGAGGAGGAGGAGGAGCAGCAGCAACAAAAGCAGCAGGGGCAGGAGGAGGACCTGGAGCGGGAGCAGGGGGAGCAGCCATGGCAGCACGACCAACATCCTAAACATAAGGAACAGCACGGGCGGGGTGGGGAGCACCCGGAGGGGAAAGGGGCAGGAAAATGCAAGAACGAGGAGAGAAGAGGGACGATTAACTCGGTTTGCAGGGCGGCGCGGTGCCAGGTAGGGGGCGCGGCCAGGAACGATGAGGACGCGATGAGAGGAGGGGGAGGAGGATGAGGAGGATGTTCGTGATAATGATAGTGGCGGTGGTGATGAGGATGATTGTTGTTGGTGATGCTGATGTTGCTGTTGCTGTCGTTGTTGCTGATGATGGTGATGATGATGATGATGAGGATGAGGATGAGGATGAGGATGATGATGATGATGATGATGATGATGATGGTGAGGATGAATATGATGATGTTGATGATGCTGCTGATGGTGATGATAGTGATGATGATTACAATGATGATGACGATGATCATGCTTTTGCTGCTGATGATGGTGTTGTTGATGATGATGATGGTTAAGGTGATTGTGATGGCGATGATGATGATGGTGATGGTGATGGTGATGATGGTGATGGTGGTGATGACGACGATATATTGTGATGATGGTGGTGATGAGGAGGATGGTAGTGATGATGATGGTGATGCTGATGCTGATGATGATGTGATGGCGATGATGATGATGATGATGATGATGATGATGATGATGATGATGATGATGATGTTGATGGTGGTGATGTTGATGATGAAGATGATGCTGATGCTGATCATGATGATGGTGGTGATGTTGATGATGCTGATTGTTGCAGTGCTGTTAATTGTAGTGGTAATGGTGATGGTTCGAGAAGGAGGCGGAGGTGAAGGAGGAGAAGGAGGAGGAGGAGGAGGAGGAGGAGGACGACCAGGTGGCAAATGTTGGGGGAGAAGGAAGATCAACAACAGCAGTAGAGGAGAGGGAGGAGAAAGGGAGGATGGATGGACGGGCGAGTTGAGAGTACAGAGGTAGGAGGGAATCTGCTCCTCCCACATGCCTCCTCCCCCTCCTCCTGCTCATCCTCCACCTGCTTCTCAGCATCATCATCATAAGCATCATCATCAGCAGCATCCTCATCACCATCATCACCAGCCCTCTTGTCCTCATCAGCTTTCTTATCCTACTCCTTCTGCTGCTCATCCTTCTCTTTCTTCGCATTATTGTTAGCATTATTGATAGCACCATTAACATTAGTTTTGCTTTATTGCTAGCGATATTATTCGTAGCATTCGCATTCGTACTATGACTATTACTCGTATTCTTACTGATATTGTAAGTACTCGTAATGTTATCATAATTATTATCATGACGATTACTCTTATTACGATTATTATTAGTCTTACGATTCGTATTATGATGCTTTCGCCGTTCCCTCCTCCCCTCCCTTTTCATCCCCCTCCCTCTCCTCCTCGTCCTCTTTCCTCTCCTCTCCTCCATCCTCCTCCTCCTCCTCCTCTCCCCCTCCTCCTCCTCCTCCTCCTCCTCCTCCTCCTCCTCTCCTCCTCCTCCTCCTCCTCCTCCTCCTCCTCCTCCTCCTCCTCCTCCTCCTCCTCCTCCTCCCCCTCCCCCCTCTCCTCTCTCCCCTCCGACCATATACCTCTCCTCGTGGGTCCCGTATGCCCCCTTCCCCTCGCCCTCTTCCTCCTCCCCCCCCTCCCCCTCCCTCTGCTCTCGACAGACAGGGCGCCCGAGGCAACGCCGACCCGGGCCGCACGCGCGGGCAGCAGCAGCGCCGTGCCCGGCGCGCTGTGCCCGGCTTGCCCGTGCCCGCTGCAGGACTCGAGTGCGGCCGCGTGCTGGCCTCTCCGCCGTTGGCCGCCGCGTCCCGCTCGTGCTCCTCGCGTTTCTCCCCCCCGTCCTCCCCCTGCTCGTCCTGTCGTGTTTCGTTTTTCTCCTCCTCCTCCTCCTCCTCCTCCTCCTCCTCCTTCCCGTTCTCCTCCTACTCCTCCTCGTCCTCCTCCTCCTCCTCCTCACTGTCTCCTCCTCCTCCATCTCCTCCTCCTCCTCCTCCTCCTCCTCACTCTCTCCTCCTCCACCTCCTCCTTCTCCTCAGTCTTTCCTCCTCCTCCTGCTCCTTCTCCTCTTCCTCGTTGGCTCGACAGCACGGAGCTCGTCTTGCTCGGCTTCGGCTCGCTAGCCCTCACTGACGTCGGCGTCGACCACGCCACCTTCCCCGACCGATTGCATCCCAGGCCAGGACGAGGCCTCCGTGGGCGCCATCGTCTCCGACGACGGCAACTTCTTACGGGTGTGAGGGTTCCAGGGGGCAGCGCCTCTCGCGCAGCCTTGGCGATATTGGGCTCCCCCCCTGGGACGACGTCTCTTCCTCCTTCGAAACTTCAAGCCTCTCATCGTCTTCGGCTTCGTGCACGTACGGCTCAGCAGCGTCGTTTTGAGCATACTGGTGGCCGGTCGCTCTGGGGGCTGAGTCTCACTTGATGCGAGACCTCCGCAAACATTGCGGGCGCTTGGCTGATGATCTTCTGCACAGGGTGGGAGTGCCGACAGCCCCGACTTCTACCAGACGAGCTTCCTTCCGCCGAGGACATTGGCGAGTTTCGAGGCTGAGCCAGCACTGTGGCCGCGCAGAGTCGCGCCTGCTGCTCTCACCACGCTTTGTTTGGATGGACACCGTGTTGCCTGGTATGGCCTTTCTTTTGGCCGTCGGCACGTTCGATGACTGTCGGGAGGGAAGGTCTTATCGCGTTCGAGGGGCGGGTCCAGCGGGAGGTTTTCGCGTGATCCTCGCAGGCCTCCACAGTGCTCGAGTGGCGTGACGGCGAGCGGTGTCGTGATGCAGACAGTTCAGCGCTCGGAGATCTTGGCGTTCGTGATGGCCCCCAGGAGCATGTCGGGCGATTTCTCGGCCACGTCAGACCACGAGCCGCCTGTGCGCGCGTGGAGACGCAGGCTTGCCCAGCCGAGCTGCCATGTAGAGTTGTGGAGGACGATCACTGGAGAGGAAGCATGCTGCCAAACAATTCCCAGATGTCTAACACATGTAACAGCATGCTTTCAACCTGCAGAAAGCATGTTTAACACATGTTTAGGACATGTGTCCCCGACATGTTGAACACACTTTAAATTCAAGGATAGGACTGTTAGGGTGTCCATCGTCGTGGCATCCACAAATATACAGAGGGGCGCGCACCAAGAAACTATCTGCTTTTCGTCAGGATACCCCAGGTTTCTTCGCTCCTCGCGCTTCGCGGCGACTTCCCGCAGCCGCTGAAGGACGTGCTGCGTTCGGGGTGCTCCAGCTTTCCCCTCGGATGCACCTCGCGCACGGGTTCTCAGGGTTGGGTTTCTGGCGAGGGTTTCTTGCGGCCGCGCCCGCACTGTAGCGTGCCGCGCTCCTCCGGGGGCCGGGTGGGCGCTCGCTTCCCGGAGAGCTCGCAGGCCCAGGGCTTCGGGGCTCGAGGAGGAGGAGGAGGAGGAGGAGGAGGAGGAGGAGGAG